AGGCTGGTGGAAGGTAGATACATTAGCCCTAGAACAGAGGTTCTCAGACTATGGGTTGGGACCCCAAAGTGGGTCATGACCCCATTTTAATGGAGTCTTCAGGACTGGCAATTGACTTGCTAGAGCTCAGGGCTGAAGAGAGGGGCAGGGCTTGAATGGGCTCAGGCTTCAGGAATAGATGGGGAATAGATGGCCAGCCCTCTGTGGAGAAAGAGGTGGTTAGGGCCTATTTAGAAAAGCTGGACGTGCACAAGTCCATGGGGCCGGACGAGTTGCATCCAAGAGTGCTAAAGGAATTGGCGGCTGTGATTGCAGAGCCATTGGCCATTATCTTTGAGAACTCGTGGCGAACGGGGAAAGTCCCGGATGACTGGAAAAAGGCTAATGTAGTGCCAATCTTTAAAAAAGGGAAGAAGGAGGATCCTGGGAACTACAGGCCAGTCAGCCTCACCTCAGTCCCCGGAAAAATCATGGAGCAGGTCCTCAAAGAATCAGTCCTGAAGCACTTACATGAGAAGAAAGTGATCAGGAACAGTCAGCATGGATTCACCAAGGGAAGATCATGCCTGACTAATCTAATTGCCTTCTATGATGAGATTACTGGTTCTGTGGATGAAGGGAAAGCAGTGGATGTATTGTTTCTTGACTTTAGCAAAGCTTTTGACACGGTCTCCCACAGTATTCTTGTCAGCAAGTTAAAGAAGTACGGGCTGGATGAATGCACTATAAGGTGGGTAGAAAGTTGGCTAGATTGTCGGGCTCAACGGGTGTAGTGATCAATGGCTCCATGTCTAGTTGGCAGCCGGTGTCAAGTGGAGTGCCCCAGGGGTCGGTCCTGGGGCCGGTTTTGTTCAATATCTTCATAAATGATCTGGAGGATGGTGTGGATTGCACTCAGCAAATTTGCAGATGATACTAAACTGGGAGGAGTGGTAGATACGCTGGAGGGCAGGGATAGGATACAGAGGGACCTAGACAAATTGGAGGATTGGGCCAAAAGAAATCTGATGAGGTTCAATAAGGATAAGTGCAGGGACCTGCACTTAGGACAGAAGAAACCCAATGCACAGCTACAGACTAGGGACCGAATGGCTAGGCAGCAGATCTGCGGAAAAGGACCTAGGGGTGACAGTGGACGAGAAGCTGGATATGAGTTAGCAGTGTGCCCTTGTTGCCAAGAAGGCCAATGGCATTTTGGGATGTATAAGTAGGGGCATAGCGAGCAGATCAAGGGATGTGATCGTCCCCCTCTATTCGACATTGGTGAGGCCTCATCTGGAGTACTGTGTCCAGTTTTGGGCCCCACACTACAAGAAGGATGTGGATAAATTGGAGAGAGTCCAGCGAAGGGCAACAAAAATGATTAGGGGTCTGGAACACATGACTTAAGAGGAGAGGCTGAGGGAACTGGGATTGTTTAGTCTGCAGAAGAGAAGAATGAGGGGCGATTTGATAGCTGCTTTCAACTACCTGAGAGGTGGTTCCAGAGAGGATGGTTCTAGACTATTCTCAGTGGTAGAAGAGGACAGGACAAGGAGTAATGGTCTCAAGTTGCAGTGGGGGAGGTTTAGGTTGGATATTAGGAAAAACTTTTTCACTAGGAGGGTGGTGAAACACTGGAATGCGTTACCTAGGGAGGTGGTAGAATCTCCTTCCTTAGAAGTTTTTAAGGTCAGGCTTGACAAAGCCCTGGCTGGGATGATTTAGTTGGGGATTGGTCCTGCTTTGAGCAGGGGGTTGAACTAGATGACCTCCTGAGGTCCCTTCCAACCCTGATATTCTATGATTCTATGATTCAGTCCCGCCTCCTGGGGTCATGTCGTAATTTTTGTTGAACGGGGTCACGATGCAATGAAGTTTGAGAACTCCTGCCCTAGAATGATAAAGGCCCTTTTTCAAGGGTGCCATTTGAGGGGGGATGGGCGGGCTCCTCTTCTCCCTCCCACCCCGAGTTTCATACCAGAGGTCTGCTCACAGTGCATGCCCTAGCCCCAGAGGAAGCTCTTAAGTGCAACACAGCTTGTGCTCTTCGGGTAGGGAGTTTGTTTATAACCACAAAAAAACCAGGAGTACTTGTGACACCTTAGAGACTAACAAATTTATTAGAGCGTAAGCTGTAGTCTCTTCGGTGCCACAAGTACTCCTGGTTTTTTTGCAGATACAGGCTAACACAGCTGCTACTCTGAAACCTGTTTATAACCAGAGGCAGGGTGATTAAGATAACAAAAGGCTGGTCATTAAATTAAATTGAGGATTGTTAGATGATCCTGAAAGCATTGCCAGGCACTCCAGTTAAAAGATAGGAAACAAAGGGTAGGAATAGATAGTCAGTTTTCAGAATAGAGAGGGGTAAATAGGGATAAACATTGAGGTGGCAAAATTTGCAGATGATATAAAATTATTCAAGATAGTTAAGTCCACAGCTGACTGCAAAGAGTTACAAAGGGCTTGCACAAAGCTGGGTGACTGGGCAGCAAAATGGCAGATGAAATTCAGTGTTGATAAATGCAAAGTAATGCACATGGCAAACTGTAATCCCAACTATACGATCAAAATGATGGGGTCTAAATTAGCTGTTACCTGTCAAGAAACAGTTCTTGAAGTCATTGTGGATAGTTCTCTGAAAACATCTGCTCAGTGTGCAGTGGCAATTAAAAAAGCTAACAATATTGGGAATCATAGGAAAGGGATAGATAATAAGACAGAAAGTATCTCATTGCCTCTGTATAAATCCATGATATGCCCACATCTTGAATACTGTGTGCAGATTTGGACACCCATCTCAAAAAAGATATATTGGAATTGGAAAAGGTACAGAAAAGGGCAACAGAAATGATTGGGGTATGGAACAACTTCTGTCTGAGGAAAGATTAAAAAGACTAGAACTTTTCAGCTTGGAAAAGAGATGACTAAGGGGGAATAAGATAGAGGTCTATAAAATCATGAATGGTGTGGAAAAATTGAATAAGGAAATATTATTTACTACTTCGCGTAACACAAGACGAAGGGTCACGCAATGAAATTAATAGGGAGCAGATTTAAAACAAACAAAAGAAACGGCAGAGTCCTGTGGCACCTTATAGACTAACAAACTTATTGGAGCATAAGCTTTCGTGGGTGAATACTCACTTCATTGGATGCAAGCTTATGCTCCAATACGTCTGTTAGTCTAAAAGGTGCCACAGGACTTTTAGTCTGGATCTGTAAAAGCGGCAAACATGGCTACCCCTCTGATACTAAACAAAACAAAGTATTTCTTCACAGCATTTCTGTGGAACTCTTTGCCAGGGGATGTTGCAAAGGCCAAAATTATAACAGGGTTCCAATAAGAACTAGATACGTTCATGGAGGATAGGTCCATCAATGGCTATTAGCCAGGATGGGCAGGGATGCAACACCATGTTCTGCATGTCCCTACCCTCTGTTTGCAGGAAGCTGGGAGTGGGTAACAGGATGAATCACTTGATGATTGCTCCGTTCTGTTCATTCCCTCTGAAGCACCTGGCATTGGCCATTGTTGGAAGATAGGATACAGGGCCCCAACCCCCTGCCTTGAGCCCCCTGCCGCACCCCTTCTGCGCCCCAACCCCTTGCCCTGAGCCCTTTCCTGCACACCGCACCCCCTGCCCCAGCCCTACATTCATGGCCCTGCATACAATTTCCCTACCCAGATGTGGCCCTCAGGCCAAAAAGTTTGCCCACCCTGGTCTAATATTTATTTAATTTTCTTTCTTTTATATAGGAACTAGATACAGTGTTCCTGTCTGCTAATTGCTAAGTTATCTGCCAAAAAACTAGAGTTTTCAGGTCCCTAAGTAGCCCCTGGATTCACGGTTAAAGTTGCCCCTCCCTCACCAAAATCTGAAATGTTGCTCCTGCCCTTTTTCCTGTAAGCTGATAAGGGGTTAACTTAGGTCAAATAGGGACACCTGAGTGACCAAAGCTGAATACCTGTTTAGGGGAAGAATTGGCGCCCTGGGGCCAACAAGGGGAAAACCCCTCCCCAGTGAGGGGGCAGGGAAAGGGATTCCCCCTTTGTTTTCTGTTTATAAATTGATTTATTTTTGTTTGGTGGAGAAGCATTCCTTGGGCATGCCCTGAGGCCTACCTTGAACATGCTAATAAGAAAATACAGAGGGGGAAGGCAAATACTGTCCAGAGTGGGGCTGATTTACCCCAGACCCACCACTGCCAGAGTGGGATCTGAGTTACTACAGAGAATTCTTTCCTGGGTGTCTGGCTGGTGAGTCGTGCCCACATGCTCAGGGTTTAGCTGATTGCCATATTTGGGGTCAGGAAGGAATTTTCCCCAGGGCAGATTGGCAGAGGCTTTGGGAGGTTTTTGCCTTTCTCTGCAGCATGGGGCACGGATCACTTGCTGGAGGATTCTCTGCATCTTGAAGTCTTTAAACCACAATTTGAGGACTTCAGTAGGTCAGACATAGGTTACAGGAGTGGGTGGGTGAGATTCTGTGGCCTACGTTGTGCAGGAGGTCAGACTAGACGATCATAAAGTCTGACCTTCTGACCTTAAAGTCTATGATTCTATGCTAAGTCCAGCAAGACAGTGGAGGTGCCTTGCCACACCAGGCTAACTGAGTAGTTGTTACTTGCTGAGCAGCTAGACATGGTGTTACACGCTCTAAGGTGAGAGCCCAAAATGCCTTGTCTAATAGTTGATTTTTAAAATATTAAAAACTCATTCTCATGAAAGCGTGATGTTCAGCTAATATCTGTAAGCATAAACATGTTCTCCCTTTCAGATCTTAGCAATACCTTCAGAAACTCTCTAGGTGGTCTTTGCTCTTAGCAAGTGAATTGTACGGTAGCTACTTTATATTTGTGTTTCATAAGGTGCAGTTTGGACAAAAAGTTCTTCTATCCTGATATGTGCAATATACTGTATAAAATACCTTTTGTTTTCACCCTCATAGCGAAGTCAGTTACCTGCTGTTGGATTCTCTGTCTCTAAACTTACGCTTCCTCTTTGTACCCTACAGGCTGACACCTTAAAAGAGAGATATCAGAAGATTGGGGACACGAAGAGAAACACTCCAGTTGAAGTTCTCTGTGAGAACTTTCCAGGTAAGGCCCAGTTGGAATTGTTATACCGGTTGTACTCTCTGTGTAAGGTGTCAATTATGAACTGGACATAACCCATCCTATTGTATCATAGAAGATTAGGATTGGGAGAGACCTCAGGAGGTCATCTAGTTCAACCCCCTGCTCAAAGCAGGACCAACATATTTTGTTCTGTCAGAACATATTTGAATGATGTTTGTTACATTGCTCCTGTCAATGGCAAACACCTGGAGCTACTACCACTGTCAATCAGTAGTAGTCTCTATTCCCTCACTCTTCTCCAGTCCTTCAGTCCTTACTTGCAGTTAGTTGCCAACACGGTCCTTTGTATTGAGGTGGTTGGAGAATGCTCAATTGCCCACGGTTGCTCTTTGTTCTGTGAAGAGGAATGGAAACAGCAGCCCCCACTTGGCCATCTTCCAAAAAAGACTGTGTCATGTTTGTTAATTGCTTCTCTGAAGTGACTGCCTCGGGTATATGGAGTTTATTCTCCGCAGAGCTCTGATATTTTTGAAGCAGTGAAAGAACTTGGTGGCCAATTTAGCAGATCCTGGGTGTCAACCTTGAGCAAGTTCCCTCAGCTGGATACTGACCAGGCCACCAGTGCCGGCTTCCTCCGGGCCATGGGGGTGCTCAACCCACCCCTCCCTCCGCCATCACAAACCCCCTTCCCCAAGCCTCCACCCCTGCCCTGCCTCTTCCCACCCCCACTCCATCCCTGCCCTGCCACTTCCCACCCAGCTCCCCCAAAGAGGAGTAGCAGGCACAGTAGGTAATTATTGTTGTTTTAAGTAGCACTAACTTCCCAGCAGGATTTTGGTCAGAAATCCACTGGGTCCCAAGATCAGATATGCCTTTGCGAGTGGCTGCTCCCTTGTTCTGCCCTCTTCCATCCTCACTCCAAAAGCCCCAGAGCTCCTGTGGGACAAAGTGGAGCTGCTGCTTCTCGTTGCTGGTTTGGAACCTTTGCTGTCTTCCAGGCTTCAGATCAGAGCAGAGCATATATGGCCTGATAGCAACAACAAGAGAGGGACCCTAACCCTAACCCCCTCCCATCCCACCCCTGTCCTTTCACCTCAGTGAGTGTGAACTACAAATAGGGTGACCAGGTGTCCCGATTTTATAGGGACAGTCCCGATTTTTGGGTCTCTTTCTTATATAGACTCCTATTACCCGCACCTCCTGTCCTGATTTTTCACACTTGCTGTCTGGTCCCCCTAACTACAAAGCCAATCTGCACCATTTCAAAGTTAATATTGCTAAGTGGGGCAGTTCAGTTTTTCTGTCTGTAAAGTGACTAAATGCAAAAACCATGCTGATGCAATGTTAGCAGTAGTATTATGGCGGCACCTAGAGGACCAAGCCTCGTTGAGCTCTGCACTGTGCAGACATAACAGACAGCCCCTGCCCTGAGAAGGGCACAGTTTAACAGTGTGAATTGGAACAGGGCAGTAAATTCAAAAGTTATGAATCCCACAGTAACTAACTCCTCAGCACATATAAAGTGCTAAAAAGCTTTAGGTCAACAGTTAACTGGGCAAGTAATCAGAACACTGTATGTGTAAGGGGAACAAGTTAATGTTACTCATTATGACTGTTGTATGAACAACTTATCCATAATATAACAATTGCATTTTTCTGGATACAATATACTGTATATACTCGTTCATTAGCCTGTTCATTTATAAGCCGACCCCCCAGGATCGATAGGTAAAAATAGTAAAAAAAAAAACAAAAAACTGTATGACCCTTTCATAAGCTGACCCTATATTTCAGGGGTTGGCAAACTTTGGCTCCCGGCCCATCAGGGTAAGCCGCTGGTGGGTCGGGACTTTTTGTTTACCTGGAGCGTTCACAGGCACGGAGCCCCTCAGTTCCCTGTGGCTGCGGTTCGCCGTCCCAGCCAATGGGAGCTGCAGGAAGTGGCACTTCTCGCAGCTCCCATTGGCTGGGAACAGCGAACCGCGGCCACGGGGAACTGAAGGGCTCCATGCCTGCAGGCGCTCCAGGTAAACAAACCGACAGTGTGTTAGATATTCAATTCAATGATTTGATAGAGTTTAAAATCATCAAATTTTGGTGTAGACCCATTTATAAGCCGACCCCCCGCTCTTTGATGTGTCACTTTTTTACCAAAAATATTCAGTTTATGAACGAGTATATACGGTACATTGGATGGATTTCATGGAGGATATGTTGACATTTGGATTCCTGATGCCTTTGCTTTAGTGCTTCCCAACTCTTCTGTTATCATATCATTCATGGTGCATTCAAATAGCCATGTAGTTCTGGGCAGGGACAGTCTTTTTGTTATGTATTTGTACAACACCTAACACAAAGGAGCCCCAGTCACAGACCGGGCCCCAGCGTGCTACTGCAATTCAGCTAATATAAATAGAGACTAAATCGCCACCTAAGTAACTTCACGCACATACTGTACATAGCCTTATAGTGCAAACATCTCTACAAGAGCAATATTGTGACTGTCCTGGGATGCTCTCATGCCTTACCTGCAGCTACTTGAAGTCACTGTATGCCACCACAACAAATACTGTGTTTGTGCTGTTGAGACTTAAAATTGCATTTATCACAAAAACACACATTTTATTAAATAATTGTTACATTAATTAATATGCAAAATAGAACTTACATACTTGAATTAAAAATCTACACAGGGGAGGGCAGCAGGTGTCTGGAGCAGGCAGAAAACTTGACCTTTAAATAGTGTTATAAAATTGAATTGCATGTAAAGTATTAATTATTTATTAAAGCTTTTTTTAATAAAGGAAAGCAGGTAAGCACTGGACACGGTAGTCAAGGCAGTTGTTTCATCACATGATGCTGTGAAAAGGATCAAATGATTCTAAAATTAAAAAAACTCAGCTCATTCAAACATTAAAAGAATCAAAATAAAAGGAAAATATTGCTAGGTTTTGGAGAAAGGCTTTCCTGAAGATGCTGATGTGGGAATGAACAGCAATCAAACATGGTGGCAGATGGGCTGGCTCAGGAGGGTAGTGTGTACTGCCTAGCAAGAGACTTGTGTTTGATTCACAGTGTCGGATCCTTAATTTGTGTCAGCTGTCATAGCTCAAACTGAAGTCAGTGGAGTTGTGACCATTTACACCATCTGAAGATCTCGTGCCCCCCGCCCCCACCCCACTCCCAGTCTCTTCCTTTGCCTGGCCTACAGAGGAAGGGGGATAAGACTGGTCTGTCATTCAACAGCTACCATATGTCTCCAGGCAACGAAGTGGTGCTGGCAAGTGATTCTAGGGAGCTCTGTAAGTCAGAAGCATGCTGACTGTGATGTGGCACGTAAAGTCGGGGGAGGTGACACGCTGCCCAAGCTTCAGGATTGGGGCACGAGCAGGAAGATTTCCAGAAAAATGGTGTGGTTTTCTTGCTTCCATAGCCTTTGATACTGTCAAACTAGCATGCTTTTATGTATTGTGTGGAGGAGACTTCACCTGCCTGTTCCAGCAGGGGATGCTTTTGTGCATATTTTTAAATATGTATTGTGATAAACTCAGGCCAATTGGGTACAGCAGAGTAGTAGAAGGCAGATATACTGGCCCCTGGGTAAGCAGTTTTCCGTTCCCTGACTGACCAGAGCAGGGGCTGCTCCAGGCTAGGGTGGACACAGGTCTCCAGTTAGCCTGCAAAAGAGTCAGTTGAAGCCGTTAGGCTAATGAGAACACCTGATTCCAATTAACCTGCAAAGAGTCAGGTGAGGCTGTTAAGCTAATGTGAACACCTGACTCTAATTAAGGCCACTCTAATACTATAAAAGGGCTCACTCCAGTCAGGCAGAGGCGAGCCAGGGGAGAGGAAGTGTGGCTGGGTAATGAAGACACCCTCAAGCCACTGGAAAGGGAGCCCTAAGGTAAGGGTGAAGAAGGTGTTGAGAGAGAGAGAAGTGGGAGAGCTGTGGGGAAGTGGCCCAGGGAAATGTAGCAACTCTGGCAGTGAAAGGTCAGCTGCCAACAGCTGCTGCCATTAGGGTCCCTGGGCCGGAACCCGGAGTAGAGGGCGGGCCCAGGTTCCCCATCAGCTCGCCACTACAGAAACACCTCCTGGGAGGGGAAGACAGGCCCCTGTCAGGACAGGAGGCTTAACTGTTCTGGAATAAGCCTGTAGGGACAACAGAGACTCTGGGAGTTCTCTCACCAACTTCCTTGCTGGCTTATGATGAAAATGGCTCAGTAGGCTGTGACCCTTGCCTCTAGAGGGAGAAGGGCTACATAGAGGGTTATGGTGAGCCTCTGAGGCTAGCGTAATCTGCCAGGAAGTGTGGGACCCACTGAGACAAGGTCGGAGCTCTGCCACGGTATACTTTACCCACTTCTATTCAAACTCCCCGTAAGTATCAGCGCTGCTTTTAAAGATGCATCTCCTCTTACAAGATCACTTTCATCACCGCTAAAGACTGGAAGGCCAAGTTTGCCCAATAGCCTCCAGCTGGCTTCTCAGGGTATTGCAAAGACTAGATCCCACCAGTTGTATTCCTCTCATGCTGGAGGGGCTTGTAATCTATACAGAGACATGGCGTGAACAGCAGGTGACTTTACTGTGTGTGCTGCTCTAGGTCTTTTAGTCTGGGCAGAGATATTGATACTCCTTTTTTTTTTTTCCTTTTGTCCTTGCCTTTTTCCAACAGAGGAGATGGCCACATATCTTCGTTATGTCAGGCGATTAGACTTCTTTGAGAGACCAGACTACGATTACTTACGAACTATCTTTACAGAGCTATTTGAAAAAAAAGGCTACACCTTTGATTATGCCTACGACTGGGTTGGCAGGCCACTGGTAAGTTTTGTTTGCAAAACAAGCACCCTCCTTCCAGAAATAAGTCTCCTAGTCCCTCATGGTTGCTTTTCCAGCTGTGTGGGCACATAAGAATTTCCTTTCATAGCCTCGAAAACCAATTGCAGCCTCTAGGTAGGATAGTCTGTTCACCAGCTTTGCACTGATAAGGCTTTGTAAAATGGTAATGACTCCCCAAGCAGCTAGGACAAATATTCTAGTGAAGTGATGATGTGTTGCAGTTGGGGAATGGGAAACTGAGTGCTGGGATGGCTTTTCTTCAGAAATCATAATGGTTCACTCTCCCTGTCAATCAGGAGAATGTGTCTATCTTTCTCCTGGTGGAAATTAGCACAGGAGATCTTCTGCATCCCTGTTGGAACCTTAAACACCCTTCCCTATTTGCCTCTGGTTTTACTCCTCCCCCTCTCACTTTCTGGTTTAGAACAATGGGGGTTCTCTTCAAAGCCCATCACACTGCTGTGCAATGCCTGCATAGGTCATAAGGCTCTCCCTCTCCCTCACTGAGCATGCTATAATGAGGCAATCCAACCTGAGTGTCCCATATGGCAGTTGCAGGTCATACCACAGGAACAGCTGGCAAATTTTAACACATTCATGTGCATATTAACATTAGCTACAGAGTATTTTGCTGCAGTGACACTTCTTCTCGCTTCATACAAAAGATCACAAAAATCATTACTAGATTGTTTGGCAAATTTGTTTTTAAATGAAGTATTACCCTTCTCGGTCAAGCTTGGATGCTCCTAAGGTTCCATCCCTCAGGACCTTTCTGTTTCAGAACATAGCACCCAAGTCTGTTATATGCAGGATGGACTCATAATGAGCCACATCTGCCCAAGGGACTCAGCAATAATTAAACTGCGGCTTTTTGTAATGTTCCAACACTTAACAGGCTGGAGACTGCTGCCCGTTACAGAATGATTAGAAGTCATGGATTTTAGACGCAGAACCTCCTGCATGTGGACACTTTCATCAAGTTGGTTTTGTCATGAGAAATAACCTCTCCCTTACAATGGTCTGAGGATTCTAAAAAAGGGCAAATCCCAATACCAGTGTGTTTTTAGATTGCTCTTCTAATCATGGGGAGGGCCATAGGGGAAAGGGTAAATGCAGAATGCTCATGTTCTGGAGTCTGCTAACTCCTTAACTTCCACCCTCTCCTTTTCTAAGCATGCTGTCATTGTTCCCTTGTTCATCAGCTTGCAGCAGAAGATTAGTTCCCTGGTCTGTCACCACCAAACAGAACATGCTAACTACATTCCTGACATGTTGCTTAGAAATTATGGAACCATCTGTATGCGGAAAAAGCTTTGCCAAGAGGCCCACTGATGCCTCTTGAAGAACTCTCATAAAACATATCTATGTAGAATCCATTCTGCTGGTTGCTCATGCAAAGGACAGTCATTTACTGTGTTTGTAGGCCACTCTGCTTTTGTGGTTTTTACATGAATACTCAGTCATTATATACAACATTTCCTATGTTTGCTTATTTTGCACAGTAACATTATCTTTTAAAAGGAAGTCATTCTTGTAAATCTCATTTCTCTTCACTAATGTTTAATTTCAGAGGCAATGGGCAAAAAGCCCATTTTAAGACAAGTTTCCTATCATTCCTTTAACAATTCACCATTGGTTGCTATGGAGATCATGAAGTTACAAGCTGGGATTATGATTTAGTTGGGAACTGAGCAGATGAAGCCTTAATTAACACATCCTGTTCCTAAAAGTAAGAAGACATGAGATGAGGAGGAAAACACTATGCATAAAACTATCCCTATTTGCAATTGTAATTAACTCAATTTAAAGCACGCTAAAGTGTGCTCAGATACCATGGAGTTGGGTACCTTTATAAATATATTGTGATGGGGCAAGGCCAGATGGCTATAGAAAAGTAGTGGGAGATAGATATATTAGCTCCAGGCTAAACAAATCCCTGGTATCAGGTTAAGTGAAGTGGAAGCTGTTCCAGGTCAATTAAGACACCTGGGGCCAATTAAGAACTTTCCAGAAGGCAGGGAGAATGCTAGGTTGATTGGGACACCTGAAGCCAATCAGGGGCTGGCTGAAACTAGTTAAAAGCCTCCCAGTCAGTCAGGTGGGTGTGCATGTCAGGAGCTGTGGGAGGAAGTTGCGCTGTTTGAGAGGCTGAGTAGTACACACCATATCAGGCACAAGGAAGGAGGCCTTGAGGTAAGGATGAAGTGGAGCTTGAGGAAGGGAGGGTTGCTGTGGGGGAATTGTACATGTCATGTTTCTAAAAGGTCAGCTACCATAGCTGATACTATTAGGGTCCCTGGGCTGGAGCCCGGAGTAGAGGGTGGGCCCGGGCTCTCCCCCCTCCCTACCTTTGCCCCCTGATTAATCACTGAGACTGGGAGACAACAGAGGCTGTGCAAGGAAGGATAACTTCTCACCTCCCTTGCTGGCTTATGATGAAAATGGCTCAGTAGACTGTGACCCTTGTCTCTAGAGAAAGAAGGGTTACGTGGAGGGTCACAGTGAGGCTCTGAGGCTAGCAAAATCCGCCCGGAAACACGGGACCCACAGTGGCAAGGTCAGAGCTTTGTCACAACTGGTGTCAGAGGTGGGATTTCATTCATAGCTTGGCGGGAGAAAGAGGTTTAAAAAAAAGAAAAAAGTGCACTGGGGTTTTGGATTTTTTTTTTTTTTTTTTGGTTTTTGTTTGTTTTGTATCACAATGGAGGAGGTGGTAAGATCTCTGGTACAAGCCACGGCAGCCCAGCAGGAGGCCACCTGGGTTCAGGCAATGGCACAACAGGAGTCTATGCGGCTACAGCATGAAACCAATCAATTATTGATGAGCCAGGCGACCCAAGATCATGCCCTCTTGAGAGGGGTGGTGGACCAGCTGAAGATCCTCACCACCCAGGCCCGATGGGACGCGAACCCTGAGGGCCACTGGTTGTCTGCCAAAGATGACGTCAGGAGATGACATAGAGGCATATCTCCTCTCATTCAAAAGGACTGCTTAGCGTGAGGCGTGGCCCCAGGAGCAGTGGGCCAGCATTCTCGCCCCTTTTTTGTGTGGAAAGGCCCAGAAGGCCTATTTTGACTTGCCTGCCACGGATGCCACTGACTATACCCATCTGAAGGCAGACATCCTAGCAAAATCAGGGGTAACGGCAGCGGTAAGGGCCCCAGAGGTTCCATGAGTGGAAATACCAGGAGAACAAACTGCCGAGGTCCCAGCTATTCGACCTCATACACCTCGCACGGAAGTGGTTACAGCCCAAGGTGTGCAGGTGGGAGGAGATTTTGGAGATCCTGGTCATCGACCGTTATGTGTGGGGACTGCTGCCAGATGGGTAGGCCAGAACGATCGGTCCACGTACGACAAGATGATCACACTTGTAAAAAGACTGATGACAGCCAGGGAACTGACCCGACTACCCAAGGAAGGCCCCTTTCGAAGCAAGCACCTGACCCCAACCCTGGAAGGTTGGGCAGCCAAACCCCTGGGGAGTCCTAGGTGGAAGAAGGGGGGGGGGCAAAAACCAGCGGGGACCCTAGAAGGAAGGGATTGGCCTGAGTGGGGGGAACCCTGGGACTAAACCCCCTAGCCCCCAGGAGAGGGGAGTGATTAAAAGCAATTATAGATGTTATATATGTGGGGAGTGGGGACACATAGCACCACAGTGTCCCAGCACCGAGGAGCCTATGCAATGTAACTTGGGGGATTGGGAGGTCCCAAGCTCCCTTATCCACCTCACCAGGGTCGCATTAGTCCAGCATAATTACACCAGGCCAGTGAGGATAAATGGAGCAGAGGCTACAGCGCTTGTGGACTCTGGGAGTGCTATCACCCTCATATCGGGTAAGCTGGTAAAAAATAGTCAGCTGCTACAAGCCAAACGTGTAGCAGTGACGTGCGTGCATGGGGCTGTGAGCCATTACCCCACCATCCCAGTGGAGATAGAGGTTCAGGGAAACCCCATTGAGGTGACTGTGGGCGTAGTTCCTAAACTTCCATATCCTGTAGTCATTGGGAGGGACTATCCAGGGTTTGATAATTTACTCCCCCCAGAGAGGCTGGAGGGAGGTGGGGACCCTGAGGACAGCGACTCGTTACCAGGGGAATGTCAACCCCCAATGTTCGCTGAGATTTCTCAGGATCTGTTCTCAGCCCCCCGGAAGACCCGGAAGACAAAAAAAGAGAGGAAGGCTGCGAAGGCCTTGGGAACCCGGATCCTGACCCAGGGCCAGAGGACCTCCCTAGTAGGCAGAAGGACGCGAGCAGCCAACAGAGAAACTTCCACCACAAAAGGTGAGCCGGAAGGTGCCCCCAGCCGTGATGGTGGTGAGCCGTTGGAAGAAACAGAAGCCGGCCCTGGGAGCTTGGGCAGGTTAGTCCCGGGAGAGAGACTTTTGGGCGGGACTAGGTGGAGGACCCCAGATATGATAACGCCAGGAAAGAGGTGGCCGAGATCGATGGGATACCCGTGGATGGGAAGGTCCGGGGTCCCGGACCTTACTTTATAGTGAAGAAAGATCTCCTGTACCCCGTGGTGCAAATGCAGGAGCAAGTGATACAACAACTTCTGGTGCCACGAAAACCTCAAAAAGCCATATTGAGTCTCGCCCACAGTCACCTGTTTGGAGGACACCTAGGGGTAGAGAAAACCCAGGCACGGATCCTGCGGAGGTTCCTCTGGCCAGGAGTACATGAAGATGTCCAGCGATACTGCACCTCTTGTCCGGAGTGTCAGTTACATAGCCCTTGGTCGCACTTGCTGGCTCCTTTGATGCCTCTTCCAATAATAGAGGTTCCTTTCGAACGGATAGCCATGGATCTGGTAGGGCCCCTAGAGAAGACAGCTCGGGTCCACCACCATGTGCTTGTTGTACTGGACTATGCAACCCGGTACCCGGAAGCTGTTCCCCTGCACAACACAGCTTCCAAGACAATAGCTAAGGAGCTAGTACAGATCTTTGCCTGGGTTGGGCTACTCGAGGAAATA